CTGAAAAAAAACACTGGCACCACTAGCTACGTCGGCTTGAGCTTTAGCCTTCAGCTTGATCAGACTTTAGGGGGACAAACCCACCGCAACCGGTCGCAGACGGCCGCAGTCCGCCCGGACTCAGGCGGCGGCGCCTCGGTCCGGCCGCAGTCCGCCATTGGGGCGGCGGGGCCTCGAAGCAGCTGCTTGGCTCAGCGAGCGTTGGTTGGTGGACGAGTTGGTCCAACAGACTCGCCGCTCAGAATTGGACTGGAAGAGTTACCATGCACTATGTTGCCTCATGAATGAATTAAGAGCCAGGATGAATCAGGTTTAAAGCATCTTATAATTGAAACCACTCCCACGTCCGCCACTCCCACGTCTATTTGAGCAATATGTCAGGCTGCCATGTTGGACAAGCCATGATATGTCACAAACGTCAGAAACATGATTATCCATTTTGACCTGTTCGGAAATACTCTCCGGAATCTTTGGTTCCATCGTGTGGTCTTCATCCAGCACCGCACTGCCTTCCGAACTCCAAACGTGCAGAAGGACCGGCGTTTCCGAACCCGTGTCGGGCATCGTGCATGTGCAGCGCAGCAGCGCAGCGCAGCAGGCATGCGCTGCCTGCGTGTCCTGCTGCGCGCTGCCGAGGTTACAGCATGCAGTTCTCACCCAAGGGCGGTGCGCCGTCATCGACTCGCCCGGCGGGCGGAGCATGGTCCAGACCTTAGCTCTCAACCGCTGGAAAATCGAATGGTTCTTTGTTCGGGGCGTGCATGAGGCTTTACAGTTGACTTCTCAAGGTGCGAAGGAAGTGTACATTGTACATGTCAAACTGAAACCAATTATACAGATGGGCTACTAGTTGATTGCCCAATTTCCAGCTACGCTCTGTCTCGCTAACATGGACGTGGAAAATTGTCCCTTGGGATACTTTCCTGTACAAAAAGGAGGTTTTCCACTTCATGTTAGTGAGTCCGAGTGTGTATTCTTCATTCACCCCAAATTCACCATTCGCATCCAAGTCGCCGGCGCACTGCGCCGCTGCGCCGGTTTTCAGGGTACCAGACCCGCGGCACCGATCGCAAATCAAAGGCACGGCCCAATCGAAGCCCAGGTCGGCGTTCAGGAAGCAGGTGAGGTGAAAGACTCGTATACCGCAAATAAGGAGATCACACAAAAAACATGTTGCTAGGAGTTCGACCTTCGAATCTTGGCTTGGATCGAAGATTTGACCCGCCCAGACGCTCCTGAAGCCTCATATGGAGGGGTCTGGGGCTTCTCACCAATTTCATTGTAGGGACTAGTTTGGCGGTTTTCAGAAGCCCTGCGCACAGCCAGACACCGTCAGTCAGGCGCACGCTTTGTTCCGAGGTCAACGCCTCAAATGGGCCTAGTACCTTGGATGGCAAATCAATGCAAATCATATACCAGGGAGCACGTGGATCAGCCAAAGCTTCTTTGGGGGAGGGGAATTGGGGGGGACACCCCACATATCACAGGTTGTGATACGGTGGAATTGGTTTGGTTCACCTTGAAGGATCTGTGGCTCCGGCTCGTCAGTTCATAGGTGTTTTTTTCCAAGGCCAGGTCAGGTCAGGTCGTTGGTTCCAAACAGCCGTAGCTGCCTCCGAAGACGGCTCCACAGAAAGTGACCCTTGGAGCGAGTGACCGTTGGAGTGACCTGGGTCAACAGAAAGCCAGCTGAGCAGATGCAGCACCATCCTAGACCTTCCTTTCGGGGTGTGGAGATCCGTCGTACCTGGACCCTTCCATTAATAAGGCACCTTCGTTTCGATAGTCCAGGTAGTGCCTTTGAGCTTTTGTTTTACCTGGCAGGTTTGGTGCTTTGAGCAGCCGTTAGGGACTTGACCCAGCCAGACGCAAGAGGTGGTCAATCGAGATCGCCAGTAGAGCAGTCTCGCCATGCGAGAAACGGTGTGCAAATCCAAGTACCAGCCCTGCCAAGAGAGTTATAGTCATGATTAGTCATGTATGATTTGTTCGGCCTTCCCCCCTCCTTTGAAAGGAGATCCGGCATCGTTATTACCTACATAGGGTGGTTCCACGAGTCAATCTTTAGTTGTTTATGGGTCAGTCATGGTCAGTTTGTTTATGAGTCAGTCTGTGTACGGGTCAGTCTGTGTGATGAGCATGGTTGTACGTTATAACCATATAATCTCGAGCACATGGTGTGATTTGGACATCAAAGGCTTTGGCACTTTGATCTTCAAGAAGAACTTCCCCGATGCCGATGTCGCAGCTTCTCCTCCCCCCACACGCACCCATGCAAAAGCCCGCAGTTCCTGGAGGACAGGAAACCAACCATCAGATTAGGTGCCCGACCCACGTCATCCATCATGTTTTTGCCCTCGCCATCCAGTTGTCGGCTTTAGGGGGCGCCCTTCAAGTACCTCATACAAAGCTATTAGTAACAAGTGCATCGCTAGTAACAGGTGCCTTACTAGTAGTAACAAGAAGCTATTAGAAACAGGTGCCACGCTAGTAGTAACAAGTGCCTTACTAGTAGTAACAAAACTGGGTTCTTTGGAACGGAACTGAAGACTTGCAGGGTGGACACGATCCATGCCACGTCCATCTCGCCTGGCCACGTCCATCTCAGACGCGAAGTCCGCCCGCTCACCCACCGGCAGCCGGACGCCAGGCGGGTGGGCTGGTTTGGTTGTTTTTTGTTCAGCATGTTTAACAGCACCGGAGTAAATGGATGGCTTGTGACTGAACTTTCTCAATGGATGGCAACAGAGATGGCAACATATGGCGACTCATTTCATGTGGCAATTGCACGACCCTTCAGAACTCTCACCACTCTCGTCCGAACAGTGCTTTTGTGGCGCTCCCATCGCCTCGTGCCGGGAGTCGAGGGCAGCCGATCGAATTGCTGACTTAAATCATCTTAAATCATTTAATTACCTCGTTTTATGATCCCATTTATGTCCCTATACCAACCACTACAATGGATGGCGGTTGTGATTGGTTGATGTTGGTTCTGTGTCGTGTGTGTTTTTTTCTATTATCACTTCTTGTTCTCGCTTCGGTTTCTTTGGGGCTTCAGTCAACACCAGACCAACGTGACGTGGGATCTGTCGGTCGAAGGGGCTGGACAGACGGAGTCGAAACAGGGTCGAGACGGCTTCGACATCGAGGGCGTTTGGTTGTTTTCGTTTCGCCCGAAATCCGTCGAAGAGACACGCAGTGTGAGGATTTTGGATCCGCTGACCTTCAAGTGCCAACTGTCTTGGCGAGTGTGTAATCAAACTCAAAATGCATGCCCCCTGTAAAGCCTAAAGAATGGACCCGGTCTATCACTGTATGAACTTCGTTTTTGGAATGTCTGGCTTTCGCACGTAATTATCGCACTCAGGTAAGACCTTCAGAAAAGGATTCTCAGATATTCTCAGATATTCTGATGTCTTTTGCAATGGCTGATGACGACTATGATGTTGAACACGCCAGTGTGTCCAAAGACCCTAAAACGCCCTTGCCTTAAGGTTGACTGTTGATTCACAGACACATACAAAAATGAAACAAGCCGCTTCCAATGGGTGTCCTGGCTGAACTACCCTCCACTACTGAACTACTATCTCCAGCCAGGACACCCACACAGGATGCTCCTGGTAAATATAATTGGTTGGGAGATGTTGCACCATCCAGGCAGAAGGTTTTTTCATGAATCGATCGTTCTCACCGTTCACTCGAGCACACGCCCTCCAGTCGGTCTCGAGCACACGGCGAGCCTTGTGAGAGAGAACTGAGCGGCCAACGAGTTCCAATTCGCTCAGTTTGCGACATGAAATTCGGCAAACTCTGAGACTCAGAAATTCTTAACTCTGAGACTCAGGAGGGTCTGAGAGTTTTTCATTGTGATCGTGAACCCACATGTCTGATCTGGGACGTTGAGCAAACCTCTAACATCTTGGAACACACGGCATATACCATAGAAAAATGAAAACTCATCAACATACGGATGCATTCAAATCACTCGGGTTCGGACGGAGATGAACCTGTGGCATTGAGCATGTTGTTCTAGATTGTTTGTTCAAAGATGTTTGCTGTGTTCTCTTTCCCCAAAAGAGACATGGTGTCGTGTTTCACAAGCTGGTTCTTGATCTCCGCTCTTAGTTCCCCGGCTTTGCGAGGAATCACTCTCGCGGGTCGCATGGCTTCAACTCACGGCGGCTGCCAAAGTGCTGTTTGTGGCTGACGTGAACGCAGAGTTCGGCTTCGCATCGGACACAACAACGATAGAGCGCCAAGCGTCATGCAGTGGCTTTTCAACAAGGCGCCAAGCGCCTCCCAAATTGAAGAGGTATTTAATTGGCTGATGACCCTTGATGAATTATAACATAAATACATGGATTGTAAAGCTAAGTCTACAGTACTTGAAGGAACCCCAAGTTTATCTGACGGTTTCCAGATGTGTCCAATCATGGTAGAACTGAAGAGATTCGGTCTGGAACAGTGATGCGGTTGATCAAGTTTCTTGTTACTACTAGTAACAAGTGCCACGCTAGTAGTAACAAGTGCCTTACTAGTAGTAACAAGAAGCTATTAGAATTAAAAAGCTATTAGAATTGGTACAACAAGTAAGGCACTTGTTACTACTAGCGTGGCACCTGTTTCTAGTAGCTTTCTTTTCTTCCACATCTTTTCGAGCTCGAAAATCCCTCCGCCGTCGTCCACGGGAGGAGAAGTGCTTTCCGTCGTCCACGGGGGCACCGAATTGCGCTCCGGAACCCCGCGCCGTGCATCTTCGGAATCTCTGGACACGTTTTCATACAACCCGAAGTCAGCTCGTGGTCGAACCCTTAAAGAGTGTGAAGTAACGAGTCAAAACATACGCCCATGTACTTCTGTTCTGAAAATGGAATACCTCCCTGTTTTTTTTGTTTTTGCATCTCCTCTCCTTTGGCCGCTCTGTGGCTGTGGGTCAATTCCAGGGGGACCCGGCGTTGAGCACTCACTCAGAGAGAACCAAGTAAGTACATGGAGGTCGAGCGTTCCCGACTTTTGAGTCCCATGTCTTTTCATGACCTGGGTGCACCTGGGAACAGTACTTCTTGCATTGCTCGCTGGCTCAAGTAATTACCGCTCAAGTAGACGTGGCGAGCGAGAGTGGGTTGGAACCCCCAGGCGATGGCGTGTTCCGCGCGTGGAGACACGGTTTGGGGCGGTGGAGTTTGGTGTTTCTGTTTCCATCCCAAAGCCACTGAAGAGGCAAAGAAGGAGTAGGCATCATCTTGAACACCGGTTTTCTTTGAAGAGGATAGAAGTGGGATTGGTTTGCAGGTGAAAACATCAGGACCTGGCCTAGTATGTGTTATTGTTGTTTCTTTGTTTAACAGATCGGTTTCTATCATGAACTTGTGGTGGAACTGAAGCTGTGGTATATAAGTCCCAATGGCCCAATCCAATGGTGTGGCCAAGAAACTGGCAAGTGGTTCTGATGATAGTATATAGATCCCTGTGCGAATTTCCTCTAAAAACTAGACGACGAGTGGCCCGAAAGCATTTTTCATCGCGGGTGAAGTTAGAGTGTGAGTTATGTGTTAAGTGTTCAGTGTGAAGTGTTAAGTCGAGTGTGTTGAGGCAGTGTGTGGGTCTCTGTGTGTGTGTGTATCTATGTCTGTGTGTATATGTGTCTCTCTCTGTATGTCTTTCTGACGCGCAGGAACACCTTTTTTCTGCAAGTTCTTGACCTCTCGCAAGTCACCGACATCTGGGTTGCGCTTCGTCCACGCCTCAAATAACTTTCGCAGTTTGTGCGATGCCACGAACCAAGTAGCCCCTAGTAGCGTCCTTCCCCTCGTAGTAGCGATGCCAGGAGCCCCTAGTAGCGTCCTTGCTCCTAGTAGTAAGCCCAGGAGCCCCTAGTAGCGTAAGTAGCGCGCAGGCCTCCCAAACATGGCACAGCTTGAGGTCAGGGAGCACGTCCAGGAGGGAAAGCTCCAGGCCTGACGTAACCTGAGCCAGTGTTGAGCCAGTGTCATCTGAGAGTGAGAGTGCGTCGGCCCGAAGGACACAAACCCGTCCTCCAGAGCAGCCATGGTCAGTGTGCCTATTTACGAGAAGCTTGTGGGGTGTGTTGAAACTTCTTGCAAGTACATTCTTCATTGCATCTGGTGGTAGCTGGCCCAAGTTCTATGGAGATTTCTGCAATCTCACTTTGAGCACCAAAAGGTAAGCTATGCAAAATGCACAGATGCATGGCAGCCACAGGGCTCTAAAGGTAACGTTTTCTTCACTTGAGATGTTGTTAACCAACCACTATGCTGGTCATTTTCTAATCGACTGTGCCAAACAAAAACGTGCCCAAGTAGCTTGAGGTGACACGCAGCAGCCATTGCATATGTTTTTGCGTGCACTCTCTGCTCGGCTCGCGACTAGCCTTTGTATACGGAAAAGATTCCCCGACATTATGTCTAGTAACGTCCTTGTCGTCCTTCCGCAGAACGACGTCCAGCTTGAGCCACTAGGGTATAACCCCAGGTTAGGCACTCAGTTCTGAAGCTAGTACATTGTTTCTGCGAAAGCACGAAGCGAACAAACTGAACAATGTATTCACTGCTTCGGTGTAAGCAAAAACATGCTCACACCAAAAGGCATTTTTCACCACATGTGAAGTCTAATGTGAGTTTTGTGTTAAGTGTTAAGTGTGAAGTGTTCAGTCTAGTCTGTCGAGTCCGTGTGTGGGTCTCTGTGTGTGTGTGTGTCTATGTGTGTGTATCTGTGTCTGTGTCTCTGCACAGGTGAGGGGGTGTAGACGGATGCGCAGATGATACGGCAGCACAACAGTGTGGCTCAGGAGCGCCAACCTCTTGGTGTCTTTCTCGCTGTGTCAGCGCAACGCTGAATAGGTCCGCCACAAAACATATCACATAATACCACCAATCATCCCTCTCTGAAGCAACACGCCGTCTTGACGGACACTCTTGTGGGACACTCTTGTGGGCCATCCCCAGCTACTCCGCGTACTTAAGTTGTACTACAAAGTCGCCAGTTCGCATCCCCCAGCTCGCCAGCAATTCCGCGTATTGGAGTTGCACTACCAAGTCGCCAGTTCTCATCTTCCAGCTCCCCAGATACTCCGCGTACTAGAGTGATACTACCAAATAGCCAGTTCTCATCTTCCAGCTCCCCAGATACTCCGCGTACTCCAGTTGTACTACCAAGTCGCCAGTTCTCATCTTCCAGCTCCCCAGATACTCCGCGTACTAAAGTTGTCCTACCAAGTCGCCAGTTCTCATCTTCCAGCTCCCCAGATACTCCGCCTACTAAAGTTGTACTACAAAGTCGCCAGTTCTCATCTTCCAGCTCCCCAGATACTCCGCGCACTAAAGTTGTACTACCAAGTCGCCAGTTCTCATCTTCCAGCTCCCCAGATACTCCGGGTACTACAGTTGTACTACAAATTCGCCAGTTCTCATCTTCCAGCTCCCCAGATACTCCACGTACTAAAGTTGTACTACCAAGTCACCAGTTCTCATCTTCCAGCTCCCCAGCTACTCGGCGTACTAAAGTTGTACTACAAAGTCGCCAGTTCTCAGCTTCCAGCTCCACAGATTGCTCCGCGTACTAAAGTTGCTAGCAAGTCGCCAGTTCTCATCTTCCAGCTCCACAGATTGCTCCGCGTACTAAAGTTGCACTCGACACGCACGATCTCCGCAGAGGGTTGCGCCGGAACTCTCGCCTGCATTTCGCGCACTCGACGCGCGCGATCTCCGCAGAGGGTTGCGCGCGCGTGGGACAAATCGCACTCTCGCCTGCATTTCGCGCACGCGACACGCACGATGTCCGCAGAGGGTTGCCCGCGGGCAGGACAAATCGCGCTCTTGCCTGCATTTCGCGCACTCGACACGCACGATCTCTGCAGAGGGTTGCGCGCGCCACTGACAAATCGCACTCTCTCTTGCATTTCGCGCGCTCGACACCCACGATCTCCGCAGAGGGTTGCATTTTCGGTTGACGCTGTTCGTCCCGCCCTCCGCCTTTAAAGAGAATTTATTAACTTATAAAGTGGGGAAAGTTTTTTCATTAGGATATCTCCCGTGAAAGTTTTCATACTCACACTTGCATACTTGCACTGGGATACTTACTTACACCTGCACACTTGCACTGGGATGCTTACACTTGCACACTTGCACTTGGACGCTTTCACTCTTACACTGGCATACTTTCACTTACAAGCTTTCACTTGGATACTTCTCTGCCATTGTAAGTATAGAAGTGTGAGTGTTCAAGTGTAAGTGTATAATTGTTCAAGTGTAAGTGTAGAAGTGTAAGTGTTCAAGAGATTTTCCGGAAGAACCCTTCGCAATGCTTTTGGGAATCAGACAACCCGGGTTGTCATAAAAACCCAGATATATACAGTGCCAGTCTACAACTGGAACCGGGGGGTTCCCAAAGAATTGACAGTCCGGGCGTGAGTGCGAATTGGAAGGGGAATGTATATAGTATGTATGGTCATCTTATTCTAATTACTAATTCGTGTTTCTACTAGCTTCTTGTTACTACTAGTAAGGCACTTGTTACTAGAAGCGATGCACTTGTTCCTAGTAGCTTCTTGTTACTATGATGATAGTATACATAATTATGTATTGCTATACTTAACTTAGGTCAAAAGGATGCCCATGAATATACTGTTTCTCAAACCATGCCCGACCTGCAGAAACGACATGCAATCCTTAAACTGACTCGCAATAGTTTTGCAGCTTGGTATGGACAACCAACCAACCAACCACAACCACAACCACTACAACAAAAGCAGGCATGCGTGATGTAATTCTACTCTTGGGTGTCCGGGCTAGACATCTACCTGCTTGTCATAGGTATATATATATATAGATATGAGTCAAATTTCAAAAGAGTGCCTTTTTTGGGACATCGACTGCTATACCATGCCCTACTTAAGCATGTAAACCCGTACGTACATCAGTTTCAAAGCATCTAAAGACCACCTTTCCATTAGGCAAATATCACCAGTTTCATGGATTATTTGGGATTTGTATTGGTGTTCCATGGTGTTCCTTCTTCCGGAATCATCCCATGAAACACCCCCAAACCCTTGCTTTGCTATGCTCCGCTCGACCGCTTCGTGTGAGGGCCATGGCGAACGGCGAGAGGTGTGCGTTTTTCGGGCGACCGCTCCGATTGCGCGAGGCTTTCCCTGAGAGTCATGGTTCATTTACTATTATATATAGCAGTGCTGGATTCTGACTTCTAGGTGGGGTAGATGAGTCACGGAAGTTCTGGCGTCTCTTTTGGCTGGGCAGACATCTCCGGGAACAGCGACACCGACATGTCATCCGACGAAAATCATCGGGGACTTATTGATTGCGACCGTTCGAAGTCGCTGTTCGAGGTTGGAAGTTATTGTTGCCGACAGGTTGGACAAAGTAGAAGCAAACTGAGTGAGTCAGACATAGTCAGACCATGTCGACGTGGAAATTCCTGACTCCCCGCAGTGAAACCTGCGCCACGAAAAAGCCGTGGATCGCTTTGAAAAAGAGCACCTGACGCTCTCGACCCCACCGCACGGTTTTCCCCGACCGTGGGGGCCGGCAGTGCGGCAGAGTCGCAGCGTTTGGGTTCGGAAGGTCTCTTGGTCTTGGCTGATGTGGTTTATCATATCCTCAGAAGGTGGTTAGACCCCCCAAACCCACCCCAACCACCTTCTCAGGAGGTGGTTGGAACCCTAGGGTTTGTTGAACATTGAGGCAGGCTTGCATCATCCCTTTGACACCGGATGGGCCATTTTCCTGGTGGAAGACGCATGCGTCAGAAGACTTGTGTCGTGAAAGGTGAACAGAATCAGAAGTGACCATGTTAGTTGAACGATGGATGGTTCTCAATGGTTTGATTTGCAAGGGGAAAGAAGTCTGTGGCTCAGAGTTATAAGAACAACTGCAGGCCTTGTTGTCGTGTGCTGCATCCTACCTACAAGACGACTCCGTGGAGTCGATCAGGCGTCCCGCGGCCACAGCGGCGAGATGCGTTGCCCTGGGCAGGGAGGCTTAGAGTCCACAGGAGCGTCCAAAGGAAGACCCTGCCATTTCCTGATATTTCCTGCCTAGACTGGAATGTTGTCGGATGGAGTTGAGTTTCCTAGGAGGAAATGGCAGGAAGACCTAGATGGTAGGATGGTGGAGGGTTGCTATGGAGTTGAGTTTGCGCGGAACGGCCACGTCGCTCAGGACTTTGTCTCGCGGGCCTGCATGAGGCCTTGCTTTTCTTGTCTCCAAGGCGGTCCGGGGTCGTGAATAGGAGGAGAAGGGAGAGGCTTTGGGTTGGGAGACGCTGTGACCGTTTTTTTTTTTTCAGAAGGGGTGTACCCAGCGCACTTTTGGACAGTCGGTGAGGTGAGGCGGCAGATGGGGTCTTTGGAATGTCAAACCTGCTGGGTGGAGCGGAGCAAAGGGAGCATCGCTAGGAACGTAACAAGGACGCGAAGAGTTTTCAGATGAAGACTGAAACACGAAGAGTGGTCTGATAGAACATGACACCTGCTAGAGGTAGTTGGTTATGGATCATGAAATTGTACTACCCTAAGGAGCCCAAGACTATTTGGGGGACCACCGAAAGTAAAAGGAAATTCCTGGACTTTGGTCATCTAAAGACCATGTTTAAAATAGTCTTGGACTCCCAGGGATGATATAGTATGCATCATGATGGCCAGGCGTACGATTTGCCCCTTCAGTTTCTGCAGCACAGGCAGCCGAACGAAAACCTGCCACGACGGCAAGTGCTAGCAGGCTCAGGTTGGGACCGGCACTGCCAGCAGAGTGTTTAGATAGGAATCAAAGAGATAGAGAGAATCGCTATTAGGTTGGAGGCCATCGCTTCTAGATTGGAGACCATTGCTAGTAGGATTCAATTAAATTCTAGAATCTAGAATTTAGAGAGAAGTGTAGAGACTCTAGAACTGAGAGCCGGATTCCTGTTCCAGTTTGCTCAAAGCAAGGAGAAAACGAATCCAATGCATCCGATTTAGCCTCTTCCCGCTACAAAGCCAGGTCAACCTTTCTTTGAATGGTCTTGGAAGGCTAGGGTATATGGTTGGTTGATGGTAAAGGGATACGCCCTGGACCACTATGATTCCCATCTATCTCATGGAGTCTACTATGTCCCATTGGTCAATGTGCATAGGTGTCCTATTCAATCATCTTCGGGGTCGAGGAATTGATGGTCATCAGCACTTCGAAATCTCTTTGAGTTCCCATTCCTTGAGGTGTGGGGCTCTTGTCCATGTTGCCAGCACCAGCCTTGGCTTACGAGACGTTCGGGCGCCCAAAACGCGATATGGCGTTGAGTGCTCGGTGGACGACGTGGAAGACGATTCTCCGTGGAACGTGGTGCCACCCTTGAGCAGATGCAGATTCCACAAACTTCATCCATTGGGCAGTGGAAGTCATCCCAAAGTTTCGAGGTTGGGTGATCCAGGAGAATGATTCATAACAATCAACAGTAGAATCTCTCTGAATATGGACAAACAAGTGATTCATCCCACTCAGCAACAAGCTATTTAAACACCCTGCATGTTTGCATTACATGGTGTACTAACAGCAGGCATGGCCCATACACAAGCTGCCCACAATAGATGATGAATCATGGAATCCCAGTATGAATCCCTATAGCAGTTCCAAACGGAGTGGAATTTCAGTCCCTGAGTGAGTGGATACAGGATGATCATATTGGACACTACCCTCCACCCATCTCCACCCCTTTCAAACTGATATAAGATCCTAACATCCATCTCATCTCGAGCCCTCCCCTTCCTTTCTCTCTACCTTCTGTCCGATTTTCCTGGCCGACGCAGAATCCCGACTGACCGGCTTCTTCACGACCTCCTCGTCCCCGCCCCAACAGTCCGACCAGTCCGACCACGGGTCCTGAGGTACTCCGACCCCAACGTGGGATACGAGTTCAAGTTTCCCACCGGCCCTCAAAAGCGCCTGGGGCTTTTCTTCAAATCCGATGGGGAACGTGGAACGCGAGTTGGAGATGGAGCGAGTGAGAGGAACGAGCGGGGTTTGCGTGGTGATGAAGCCGGTGGTTCTGGGATTTATATGTGTTTTTTGGGAGGCTCATCGGACTCATCCTGCAAGAACCAGCTGCGTCCTGCCAGTCACAAAGGGGTTGTGTTTATAGTTCCTAAGTGAGTGGACACTGGGCACCCATGTGCACCCCTTATCCTCCAATGGGCACCCCTTTGCGACTCCTGGTACTTGATGGCTCCCCAAAGAAATGACTTCAAAACAGTGCCCGGCATGTGTCTTCCTATAATACAGAATCCCTGGAAGATCTGGAAGGCTTCCTAAAGGATCGAAGCCAAGTTCTCCTTGGAAAGCGACCTGTTTCGGCCAACACCGTGCACCGTGTCGTCTATCCCGAAACAGGGGACTCACCGAAACGACGGACTCGACCGATCCATTGGTGTGAAACGCCTCCAGCGTCAAAAGGTCGCGGAAGATCGCTTGAAAGGAACATCAACTGTAACTGCTACATCGCCCGTCTTAAGATGTCAACTTGCCAGCACGTTTTTTGATGTGACACATCAACTCTTAGCCCGTTTTGGATGCGAACGCCGCTGCGAACGCCCGTCCAGAACCAGCGAAACGCGGTGGCGAAAAGCGGTGTGTCGACTTGTTGGTTTCAGGTCCACCAACAAAGGCTACGATGTCTTCCTGCGGGATATTATCGAGCCATTGGAATACATTGGCCTTAAGGACCCGGTCGCGACGCGACAAGAAGCGTCGTTGCGGTCGAACTGGGGCCGGCGATCGGTCGGTGAGTTGGGTCGGGACCAGGTCCCGAAACGGTAAGCTTTGAGAAAGCAATGCCCCCTCATGTTCACCATGATTAACTATACGGCTTGGAGAGGTCCGTCCAGGCTCGCCTCTAAGAACAAACCACAGTCATGTCCGCCATTCTGACACACCTGATGGCCCCAAATCCGGCGAGTTTGGAGTGCGATGCGGATCAAAGGCATGGTTATGTTGCCACGCTCCCAAAACAAGACCCCAGCAAACCCCGAGACCAGCAAGACTGCAAGGCAGCGAGACTCGGTGCATCTTGGAATGTGGTTTTCTTTGATGTTTTTTTGGGACGTCATGAAATCAAGTAGACTAGAGAATCCTCCAGAGCTTTTCATCACACCAAGGTTATAAGATTATGGTCAAAACCCTAGCGTGGTTAGGTCCATGAGTTTGGGGAGCTCGCTGGCCATGAGTATATTGCGACGTATCTGTGGCTAGAACTTATTCCTGTACTGAATTTACTGTATATATAACTATTTCACCCAACTCTTACCCATTTTGCTGGTACTGCCTGGTCACGAGTTCCGATCTGGCACTGCCGACCCTCCGACGAATCTGCAGATCACCAAGACTGAGCGGAATAGCTTGAACGACGTGGGCTCCCCACAAGAGGCGGGGGAACCGGCCGCGCTGGGGAACCGGCCGCTGGTCGATGCGCAACTGGGAACGGAGGTGAAATTCGGGACGAAGAAGCAGCCGCAAGAACATTGAGCTAATGGAAAGAATGAAGGCAATTAAGGATATTAAGGACTCGTTCCATGGGGAGGCCTTATTGAGAGGAGTCTGGGGCCCTTCTTGTTGTCCTTTCTCATGACCCAAGGTTAGGGACCGGGTTGTGAACGGAGCGGATTTGGGAGGCTGGCTGGTCATGACGGACCATGACGCACTTTTTGTGGAATGGTCATGCTGAAAGGGGGGGCCAGTTGGACCAAATGGGAGGAGAAAGAGGTGACGTGGAGAGATCCCGAGTCAGATGTGGTTTCAGGTGGTCAAACGGAAAATCACCATTGTCACAGCAGCACTGGGTCAACTACTGGATCAGATAGACAAAAGAATCGAGATATAGCCATCTTGGAAGATCTTGAAAGCAACTCCGCCGTCACCATCTCAGCAGAGGTTTCCTTGAAAATCTTCAAGGGCTCAACCATTCTTCTATTTGGGGACGAACAAGAGAGCCCATCAAACTGTCCGGCAGTTCTCGCTCCATGTGAGCGCATCCACCTCCCAAATCGGCCAAGGAATTTTACGAGAAGTTGTTGGGTGTGAAAACATACAGAACGACTCGATGCTGGATGTTTTGTCCTTTGATTGAGGTGGTTCAGGAGTGCTTCCATCAAGTGTGCGATGACATCCTCACTCCGTAGCTGTTGGTTGCTTGAGCATGCAGACAGGCTAGAGAACAAAGTCACCATGAGGCAGTTCTGAATTGGTCGGTGCAAACATAGACTCACATAGATGGCATTTGATGCCATCATAGGTGCCTTGAAGTGTTTCATCATCATGTCGGCATAGATCAAAAAAAGACATCAAAACACACACGATCAAACACACGTCTCATCACACGGTGAACACCCGACGCAGCATGGGCATTGTCTCAACCGTATCACCGTACGTTCCGCACCGAGCGCCTTCGCGGCGACCGAGCTCGCTTCCTGCATGGCGCGGTGGACCTTGCGAGGTGGAGCGGGGGGGGGGTGCGGCATGGATGGCGCGGACGTGGTCCGTCAGAGTTCCAGTAGTTCCACCTGTTTTGGGTCGGGACCTGATAGAATTGGGATTTTTGCGAGGTTCTGTTGGGAGCTTGGGTTGAGACAGGAAGCCACTGCCGAGCACGTTCCGTGTTGTTTCTTTCACGAAAAGGAAACACCACCACTGCCGAAGAAAAGACACACTGCCAGTGGCTGGATGCAAGGTCGTGGTCAGGCCACTGGCAGTCTTGAAGGGTTCCTCACAGCCTTGAAGGATGAATGACTCGAGGACTGCCAGGGCCCCGCAACAGACGGGTTTTTCATCAAAAGCCCCTGATCTGCGAGGTGAAAAACCGAAGGAATGGATGCCTAGCAGTGCTTGGTGATGATGTGAGTAGAAACAGGTGAAAATCGTTCGGGAGCGGACCTACCCAAAGATTACCAGTAGTAACAAGTAGCTGGTAGTAACAGGTGCCTTACTAGTAGTAACAAGTGCCTTACTAGCAGTAACAAGGACTCTACTAGTAACAGATGACCATTCTGTTTGGGATATGATGTGGGGTTGTTGCCCACAGTTTCTGTGCATGAATAAGTGGCTCAACCACAAGCGGCTGCAAGTAGGAGCACCAGCATACCGAAAGGAACTTTCAGTAGCACAGAGAAATACAACAGAGAAAACCACGGTTGTCTTGCCTCTCCTTGGATTATCAGCAGCGACCTCAAAACGAATTGTTTCACTACTATAGACCTTGATGTGAATAGAGAGTTGTGCTCATTCACTCAGGAAGTCTGAGTAAGGCAGTGGGCGGCTGGGTTTCCCTGGGGGTTCGAGCAGTGTATTGCTGAAACCAAAGATCCCCTGCAAAGACCGGCGCCTTGAAAGGGCAGTTTGGATTGCTTGATGGAGGCCGCTGGCTCCGATTTCGGCTGCTTTCTCTTTTCGCATCTTCCGCATCGTCGTCCCCGGTGTTTTCGGGGGCTATGTGTTGATAACAATGTATAGACTCTGTCAAACGAAGTGCTGAGGTTGCCATCTCACCAAGGACTCGATTTGGAGGTCCAACTTAGGGAGAATGGAGGTATTCCAACCCTGGTGCCGCTGATGCCCATTTGAGCAGACTGTGCAGAACCATTTGTTCTGTCTATATCATTGTGTGCCAGCCAAAGTCAAGAAAGCCACTTTGAACCCGATGTATCACGATGCACCCAGCAACAGATGCATCTAGAAATCTGCCAGGTGTACGGGCTGCCTTGCTGTTGGCCTTTCTTTGGGCTGGGAAGGAGACTTCCCAAAGCTTTCTGCAGCCTCGCTTGGCCACTTCTAGGCAGCTGGAGAGTTGCAAGGGGATGGAGAGTTGTGAGAAGCCTGCTGACAATCACTGTACTTATTAACAATCTATAGCAATCCAACTAGCCACTGAATTGACCCTCCAAATCTCAAAATGACTCATCCCATAATCATGAAAAAGGTCAATTTTCCAATCCCATGGTTTGTTGTTTTCTGTGGAATTGGTTCTTCGTGTTCGCACGACGCTTCCCTTGAAGATCCCCGATTCACCAGGAAAGGAAAAAGAACGCGTCTCCTCATTTGACATCGCACTGGAGATCTGAGGTTCTCCAATCCGAAATGTTCAAACTCCCGGAGGATTTCAGGCTGTTTCCGAAACCACCAGCATCGACCAAGGAGCGACGAAAGAACCATCACACCGGAGTGACGACGGCCTCGTTCATCAGGACCGCTGGATCGACGGCAACCGGAACGTAGCTGTCGCCTGGTCGATCCAGCGGTCAACTGAAGGTCCAACACATTTGACACGGTTTGTGAGCCGTCAAACACCAGGATCCATGAATGCTGCTGCATGTCTTGAGGCAGACGTTTTCCACGGCACGAAGCGCGACTGTGGAAGATGTAGGCGCGACAGGCTTTTTGGGCAGGTGGCACGCAGGTTGGGTGTCGAAGTGGCACAGCGCCAATCAGCACTCTGAGTGGCTGAGGTTTACATGAGATTATATACAATAGTTCTTCTCAAAGAAGATGTTGGTGTCAAGTTGTTTCTTTGATCGTAGGCTTTGTGATGTGCATGCAGTGCATGACGGAGCATGCAATGGATCCATGGGATAAGATTAAGTCCTCAGTGATCACAAAAGGCAACGTATGGCAAGCTTCGCCACAAACAAAAGCCACGATCGGCTGATCTGCCATGGATCCCTCGCAGTCGCTTTTTGAATCACTTGAATCAACCATGGAAAAGAGCATGTCGTTGGCCGAGCTGCAGCTGTTGGTGCTGCAAAGAAACATGTGGAATCATGTGGACTTCGAAGAAACGGCCAGTTTCCGATGTCCAAACTGCCGAGCTGTGAGGCTATTCACGAGGCGATCGTGATCGTGAAAAACCAAAACAAACAAACTACAGGAAGCAAGAAACACAGATCCAAGAACAGCACTCCGCGGTTTTTCCGCCTTTTTTGTACCACCGTTTTGGGGACACAAAAAGAACTGCTCAGGGGTGGACTGATCGGCCCAAAGTCTCAGATCAGTCCGCTGGGCTTGCAGGTCCAATCAGTATTGAAAGGCAGATCTCCCAGGCTCGACAGGAGCGCCGGGAAGTCGTCCTCGTCCTCGTCCTGGACGCGGTCAAGCCGCGTTAGCACCACGGCTTGGTTGGTTTCCTCCCTTTCTGAAAGGGAAAATTCAAGCCTATTCAAGCCATTCTCCTTGGCACCCCCGCAAAATACCACGTGTTTTTCTATCCTGGAAGAATGGCCACGACTTGTTCTTTGTCCACAGAACTTCCTGTTCAAGAGTTGGACCCATCCGATGCCAGCTGGACTGAAGAGGTCCTCCTTCCACCAGCCGAGAATTCGGAGAAAAGGGTCTTGTTTTGCGGGTCCCTTCTCCGAAACAGGGGCCCAAACAAGACACGTTTATCTTTTCAAGTCGCTCCCTCACGGCGGTTCAGCACGTTTTGTTTGCACTTCTTCAGCCTTTTGCTCTTGCCACCCAAAGCAACTGCCGTTCCGAACCCACAAAACACCGCACCCACCGCACTCACCTCCCTCGCGCACCTCGCCCGCCGCACACCTCGCGGACCGCAGCTCCGCTCCAGGAGGAGCTCGGCACTGGCGGCTGGGCGTCTTGGGAGTCCGACCCATCCCTCACCGAGACCTGGCCAGCGCGGGGCGCCCGGTAGGACGGGCGGAGAGGAGACCAGCGGAGTAAGCGAAGGGTCGAGGCGAAGGCGGACGCGAGGGTCGCGAGGGTCGCGAGGGTGGAGGCGGACAAGAGATGACATGCAGAGGCACTATAGTCTATAGACGTATATTGGTGCTTTGGATGATTTGGAGCGATGTTGCGAGCTGGGACTGTTCAGGGATCGAGTTCTGAAGCTGAGCCTTCGTCGGGCCGCCCTGAAGCCTTCGTCGGCCCGCTCATCGGGAGCCATGGGTATGACTTCATGAGGGTGGTATTCTTCTTCGCAGCTTCCAAAAACCTCATACCCCCGCACTCAACTTGTTTGATGGCTCCAGTCATACCAGAGCGACTCCATTGGATGACTGAGTTTCCTGGTCTCCAAAGAAGTCACAGATACGGTTTCTTGTGCCTTCACCCGGTGACCGGGGAGGTCCAGACCGATGTGTGTTATCTCAGCCTCCTCTCTCTCAAGGAATGTCTCGGGTGTGAACGTACGTTGATCTTGCACCCTTGGAGTCTAGACACTTTACAAGTGAGCCCTGTTCCAGTTCAAGAACCATCGTACACTTACAAGAACCCAACGCAAAAACAACAGTCCATCTCATCTCATCTCTCTTATGTGCAGTCCGTCTCATCTCTCCTCTTCCTCTCCTCTTCCTTCCCCATCACTCTCCTTCCACCCGTCACCGTGGCGAGCCGGTCACCGGCCCCACCGCGTCCCCCTTGCGCTGCAGGTCACCTACGCAGATCCCGAGACCGTGCCTCGTCCGTTCCGCGGACTCGGCCGCTCCGACTCCTCGACGTCGGCGTTGGAGGAAGCATCCGTCGGTTTTGCCTCACGGAATCGGCATGTTTTGATGGTCATTGAGTCATTTGTATATGTGTTGCATCATCTTTTTCTTATCAATTAGCAGTTCTCAGAGGTAGCAAGACATGGGCAACCGGTAGCTAGCTAACATGTGTTTCGGCATGATCTCTAATCAGCAGCTGTTCTTTTCAAGGTAACGGATGCCGTTTAGGTTGAGGTAGCCGCTATTTAACAAGGCCCTGTTGAAGAATACTGAAGTTGGGAATCGATTGCAGAATGATCGCTCAAAAGGAACATCACGTGCATTTTTCGTTGCATCTTTTGTTCATCGTGCACTCATTTTGCAAGTTTGCACATTCTGCAACGT